CCCTATGTGAGCCTTGAACCTGCAACCTGTCCCTTAAATGTAGGTTTGTGTGTTGTGCACTTAGTTAGGGTCGCGTGGACTTGAACCGTAGATTATAGGTGTAGTAGCTCTGAGGGTTTGTCCAGCCCCTAGTCTAGGTCCTTCCAGAAGGTAGTTGACCGTAGCTGAGTCAGCAAGTGGGAAGTGGCCCTCAGGCCTAGCGAAGGGTCAGTTTAACCGGCTAGGAGTTTCTTGAAGCCGCTGGTTGACTCTTGAGGACTGTAGGGGTCAGTGTGTAGGCCTACCTAGTCTAGTCAGCAGTACCAAGTCCCATTCCTAGCTAGTCTATTCAGCAAGTACCAGGTGAGGCTGCACACGTTTGGGCCTGGGACCGGTGGCAGGCCAGACCACCAGCGAAACAGTATAAATAAAGAGGCAGCGCTCAGCCATGGATTCATTCGCCTGTGAGCCATGCGGAAGCGCTGCTGAAGCGACTTGTGCAGGAGGTGGTATGCAGGTGCCCGAAGCTGAAGTGGGCAGAGGAAGACGACGGCGGCCATAGCTAAGAGGAGGGAGATGACGGTGGCCATAGCTAGGAGGAGGAAGACGACGCCGGCCATAGCCGCCAAGCTGCTGATGTCAACAGAGTTTACTCTGTGTGTGTGTGTGTGTGTGTGTGTGTGTGTGTGTGTGTGTGTGTGTGTGTGTATGTGTGTGTGAGTGTGGACATTCAGGGTGGATCCTCGTGCACGTATGTGTGAGTGAGGTTGAGGCGGATGGTGTAGACACAGTGTTCAGTGGGGAGTTCAGACAGCGTTCGGCGGCCATAGCCGCAAGTTGTAACAGTTGACTTGAGCTGAGTTTCTGGCCAGAGGCCATATCTCTGAAAAAAAAAAAAAAAAAAAAAAAAAAAGTCCGTTTTACACTCTGTGGATTAGAAGATCCCTCTGCAATTTGCAGTTCTTTTGTTTTTTTACTTTTTTTTTTAACCACCAGTACACCACTCAGGCAAACTTGAGAGATCGAAAATGAGTCATTCTGAAAAGCGAGGGGACTCAGGACAGGGCCAGTGTGGGGGCGGGCGGGATTTGTTTTTGTCCCACGCCGTGCCAGTGCCCACCCCTAGGAGTGGAACAAAAAAAAAATGCCCGGCCCCAAGCAGGCCATGTCCCCCAAGTCCCCTAATTTTTCGGAATGAGTCGTTGCCTATTCTCAAGTTTGCCTGGGCGGTGTGCTGGCGGATTAAAGGAAAGAACGCACGAAAACAACAACAGGTCCTTAAAGGCTGCAGTCCGCAGCTTTAAACTCCTTCCCCCCCCCTGTTTTACAAAACAGTTTTAAACTCCTATTCACAGTTTTGAATCTTTATTGTTTTCATTCATCATTAATTACATTTGCGAAAAGGCAAGGAAACAGCAGTAATGGGTTGGCGATCCAGCTGATACACACATTTGCTACTCACCAATGGAACTCCATGAATTGCTTCCATAAGCATAGTCTGTGGTAATTCAACTGCCAGCATAATTACCAACACAGTAGCAGCAGCAGTGACAACACAATCACAACCATCACCACAACCACCACCCCAAATTGCAATTCTGGGGCAATCAGTCATTCCTTTTAGGGGCAAGTGTGTTTTATGTCATAAGTTCACAACAGAGTTTCAAATGGTGCAAGAAAAACACCCCTGGGCAAAAAGAACAGGCCCCCAACTTAAAAGGGCAAATGAAAGTACCGCGGCCATGGTGTCAGGCCAGGTGTCATAACTACAGGGTTCGGCCGTGGTGTCAGACGGGAAAGGGGGTGTGGTGGGGGAGAAAGGCCCAACCGGTCTATTTCGACTGAAATTGCCCTCTTAAGTTCGGCGGTTGTCCTTTTTGCCCGCATGTGTTGTTTTTCCTTTATGAACTCAAAATGTGCCGAGGTCACACTCGTTTCCTCATTATATCACTTTAAGGCAGGGAAACTTCCGTGAAACCACAGCGTCATCCAGTGATCTCACCATTATCCCAAAACAACTGACATGAAACAGATAACGTGGCATGAAACAGATAACGTGGCAAACGGACAGCCTGGGTGCTTGAGGGCTATAGACAAGTAGAGCAGAGGGTGCACCAGGAGACATACGGAGCTTAGAGAATAATTGAAGGGCCTCATGAGCGCAGGAGACAAAAGAAAAACAAAAGAAAATGTGGCACAGCAAAAGTCGAGAAGGAATCCGTTTTTACTCTCTCTCTCTCTCTCTCTCTCTCTCTCTCT